GCCAGATGTCTACATAATAACAAAGTGTGTTACATTTATTTATGCTGTGGAGTTAAGAAACAACAACAACGCAGAAAACCAAAACTACACTATGGCACCTCAAGTTGGGTTTCATATGTTGTTTTACATTTAATAGAGTGGCTGCACCTTGAATAACTGCTGCCCAAATTAGCAATTGCAACTCACAGCTAGCTACCAGCAGCAGTTCAGCTGCAAGGCCACAGCCCGGTGGGAATTCTGTTCCTTCAAGCACCGACTCTATCTAAATCTCTATCCTTCTATAGAACTCATGATTCAAAGGTTGAGATGAAATCCTGCTAACTCAGAGAGGCTAAGTAGCAAGTAGCTAAGCTTCTCTCCTTGCTCACATCTCCCGAACCCCCCAAAAGGGTCGTTCATCTGTTCAACCCCCCCCAAAGAACCCTCACTACATGTAGTTCCACCTTATCACTTCCTGTCAGCTAGCTGCTGACTCAACTTCCTGGCCCCAGGTTATTTTTACTTAAATAAAAGTAACACGATTTTACATCCTCAACAAAGGCAGCAGAAACAAATGTAGCACACCTTTACACAGAATAATATTCCAGCCGGGCGGTGGTGGTGCATGCCTTTAATCCTAGCACTCGGGAGGCAGAGGCAGGTGGATTTCTGTGAGTTCAAGACCAGCCTGGTCTACAAGAGCTAGTTCCAGGACAGACTCCAAAGCCACAGAGAAACCCTGTCTCGAAAAACAAAACAAAAGGATAATATTCCACAGCAGTTTCCTTGTACAGGCTTGGTCTATTTTCTAAAGGTAGTGTTATACCCATTCTGTGGGACCCCAAAAGGACTACTACCAAGGAGACAACTCACCATATGCAAAGACATTTTTTTTTTTTTTTTTTTGGTTTTTCGAGACAGGGTTTCTCTGTGGCTTTGAAGGCTGTCCTGGAACTTGCTCTGTAGACCAGGCTGGTCTCGAACTCACAGAGATCCACCTGTCTCTGCCTCCGGAGTGCTGAGATTAAAGGCATGCGCCACCACTGCCCAGCGCTAAGGGGCTTTTAAAAAGGCAAAGACCACAAGACTGAAAGCCTCAAGATTACAAAGTTTTCCTGATTACACAAGATAAAGTGATAACTATATGTTTAAGCAAGATACAGGGCAGGGGGCATTTGGTCATAAGTTTATTAATTATCCCCTGGGGGTAGGTGGGGGTTACAACCTGTAATTGGTGGTATCTGGTCTTCTTTGGGACAAAGGAATGTTGACACAGCTGGTGGTGTGTTAATTGGACTTTTAGGCCTCTCTTAGTTGGTCAGGAGGTCAGATTCTTTTGTCCAGCTCTCGATCAGAAATTCTTTTTCCCTGTATGGGCATAGTGGTCTAAGTTTTTTAAACTTTTATTAATTTTTTCTATTACAGGAGCAAGCTGGGAGCTGAGTGTGGAGGCATGGGTCTAAAATTCCTGCTACTTAGGAACCTAAGGAGAAGGATTTTGAGCTTAAGGCTATCTAAGAGCTAACTAGATAGATCTATCTTAGCAACACAACAAAAAATATAAATTGTTGGTTGTGCACTTTTTTTATTTCTATTGATACTGTCAATCAACTTTTCAAAAAGACTTCGTTGATTAATATATTTTCTTTAAATGAATCAATACAGATAGTTTTCAGAAAATCATTATGAACGGTCACAAAATCAGGATGCAATTAAAGTGATGCTGATTTTATCTTACACATTAAATCCTAGAGATATCCTTATTACCAATGAATTCAGTATTTTCAACTACACTTGCTTGGCTTCCACACCCTCCAAACTAATGTGTTCAAATCCTAACTCTCAAGGTAATAGCATTAGGAGACTGAGCCTTTCCACGAGAGTGGAGCCCTCTGTAACTTGTTAACAGACTCAAGAGATGCCCCCCAAACCCTTCTTGCTACATGAACTTCCAATGACAGACAGTTGCCTATGGGAAGTGAACCCTCACCAGTCACTAGACCAGCCAGTACCTTGACCTTGACCTTCCCAGCTTCTATAGCTGTCAGAAAATGTTCTGTTTATAAGCTACCCATTGTATGATACTTTGATAAAACAACCAGAGTGGACTAAGATATCCCAGGGCTTGCATAGTATATGAGTGGCCCTGTTTTGATCCCACCACCCAGACGTTTTTTTATTTCAACTTTTATGAAACAGGGTATCAGTATCTAGTACTTGCTGTCCTGGAACTCACTATGTAGACCAGGTTAGGTTCAAACTCACAGAGGTCTACCTGCCTCTACCTCTCAAGTTCTGGGCTTAAAGATATGTGCTACCATGTGTGCCAGCACCAGGACTGGTCCTGCAGAGTGATACCCCGCAAGATCTCCAAGATTCATGGCAGCCACAGGCTATCCCAGAGGGGTTCTGGTGGGGATCCAGTGATGGTGGTATACCAGAAGCCAGAGGCCTTGAACCAGACCAGTGACTCATTGCAATAGACATGTGCCAGTAAAACTGATGGGACAAAGAGGTATATTATATAGCACACTGAAGCCTCTATTGCCACCAGAACAAATGAAGAGATGGAGAAGCAGGAATGGAGAAGCAAAGAGATTTTTCTGTTGTTGTGGTTTTTGTTTTGGGTTGTTTGTTTTTGGTTTTTTGCTTTGGTCCATTTGCTTACTTACTTTGATTTGTTTCCTTATTTGGGGGTATGCGACAGGGATAAGGGTAGGGTGGGGGCACTGGGAGGTGAACAGAGTTGGGGTGCGTGATGTGAAACTTCCAAAGAGTCAATACAGAAGTTATTATTATTATTATTATTATTATTTTGGTTTTTCGAGACAGGGTTTCTCTGTGGCTTTGGAGGCTGTCCTGGAACTTGCTTGGTAGTCCAGGCTGGTCTCGAACTCACAGAGATCCGCCTGCCTCTGCCTCCCGAGTGCTGGGATTAAAGGCGGGTGCCACCAACGCCCGGCCTATTATTATTTTTTAAATCCCAGCATAATGACACATATCTGTTACACCAGCTGCGCGCACACGCCCGTGTATGTGTGTGTGTGTGTGTGTGTGTATGTGTGTGTGTGTGTGTGTGTGTGTGTGTGTGTGTGGTGGTGGTAGTGGTAGTGGTGGGGAACTAGCAGATCCTAATCCAGCTGCAATGGAAATGGAAAGTTTCAGGATCAATAAGAGACTCTGTCTCAAAAAATAAGAGTAAGATACCTGGCCTTCATATGAGCACAAATAAGCAAATGTGCACCCATACACTTTTACACATGTATACACATAAACACACACACACACACCAATAAATTATTTAGATGAGAGGCTAGAGAGATGGCTCAGCAGTTAAGAGCACTTGGCTTTTTCCAGAGGACCTAAGGTTTAATTCCTAGAACCCTCGTGGCAGTTCACAACTGCCTGTATCTCCAGTTCCAGGGAATCTGATGCCTTCTTCTGGCCTCTTATGTGCAATGCATATATTTGGTGCACTTACATACATGCAGTCAGACCACCCATAAGCATAAAAGAGAAAATGTTTTAAAATGTTAAAGAGATTTTTAAAATATTTAAAGGAATTTTTATCAAAGTTACATAACAAAATTCACCATTTTAGAGTGGATTAGTCAGTGGTTCTTAATATATTCATAATATTGGTCAACTACTACTTCTGTCAAGTTCTAAAACATTTTCATTGTCTGTAAATGAAACTCCCATACCTATTATGTAACTACTCCCCATTCCATTCCCTCATTCACTGACTATTGCCAATCTGTGCTTTTTGTTCTCTGTTCCTGCTTTTTCTTAAAAAAAAAATATTTATTATGTATCCAGTGTTCTGCCTGCATGTTTGCCTGCACTCCAGAAGAGGCACCAGATCTCATTATAGAGAGTTCTGAGCTACCATGTGGTTGCTGGGAATTGAACTCCTGACCTCTGAAAGGGCTGCCAGTGCTCTTAACTGCTGAGCCATCTCTCCAGTCCCAGTTTCTGCTTTTTTTGTAGTCCCTTTCTGTCAATAAGGCCAACGTTTTTTTCAGCTCATCAATTAGATCTTTATAGTTGGTGTGTGTGTTTCTAGAGTAAGATTTAATGCTGAGGGGAAAGATAAGATGATGGGAATAAAAAGGATGCTTTTTCTTTTCTAGAAATTGTGCGTAGGTAAGGCAAAGGTCTACTTTCCGCGAGTGTGTTGTGTAGGTCGCATTAGCATTGCCCTTGCTAACTCCTCATCAAACAGAAAGGCGATACTATGAAAATGATGACTTGTTTTTCTTTTGATAGTTGGTATGCGTGTATTATACCTAATAGAATAATATTTCAGGAAGTTTTGCATGACACCCATTGTGAAGTGGTACACACCTCATTCCCTGACAAACCGCAGTATTTTCGTTGTCTCCACGCCATTTATCACTTTGAGCTGTCCTAGTATTATTTATTTTATCCAGTTAACGTCCCTCACCCTTACTGGAATGCTTGTTTTCTCTCAGTCAACAGTGTTCCCAACTTAGGCCTCCAATTATCTTTGTTTTCATTTTTGCAATGAACCAGTGAATGGACACTCCATCTTTAAAGGTACTTCACAAACAAAGGGGTAAAATGCTGGAAATGTCTCTGTGATGGAACAAGGGCCTAAGAGTAGCAGAGCTGCAAGAAGCAACATCTCTCCGGGAAAGGGAAGCCAGGGGCGGTACCTACAGGGTCGGCTCCGCCCGGCCGGAAGGGACGGGACCTGTGTGTGGGCGTGGCCGAGTGGAGGGGCGGGACGTGCAGCGCGGACCGGGGGAGCGGCGAAGATGGCTGCGGTTGTGGCAACCGATACGCAGCTGATGCTCGGCATCGGGCTGATAGGTAAGGAGGCAGGCTTTCTGCCCGCTAGGCCGCGCCCCAGATCCGCCTGGGCTCTCGGATCCGTCGGGCTGTCCCGCCAGGAAGGGGCTGGACCTGGGCGGTGGAATCCGTCCTCCTCGCCGACGGGACTGACGTGGTGCCTGCGGGCGGGCGGGGCTCGCCGCTGGTGGATGGCCGGGCCTTGGGACTATGCGGTTGGAGAGCTGGGGCCGGGTCGCGGGTGTTTGCGGCTCCCCGGGAGTGTGGGTGACGCCCCGGGAGCCCCGGGGTGCCATTGGCAAGACACTCCAGGAAGTGGCGGAGCCAATGGTGGAACCCGCGCAGGATGACCTCGAGCCTCCACTTCCACCGTGGAGAACTTCGTGTCAGTTGATCCAGATGTCCCTGCTGCCTGGTCACATTTGTGACCCCAGCTAGCTTATAGGAATTCATGGTGAGGAAGTTCGTAGGTATCTTTGGACAGTCCAGACCTTGTGTGTTAGTTTTGTGCAGCTCAAGCAGGCGGTAGGTAACAGCGCCAGAATGAATGAACATTTATGAATTCCTTTGAATATTATCTCTCCAGAGATTCTAATACACCTAGACAGTATCCTTCCTTGCAGAGTGCAAGCGGGGTTGCTTAGGCTTAGCAAATAACTGTAGTAGTTATTTTTCAGACGTTCAAAGGAGTGTCTTTATCCTGTATTCATTTTTTCTTTCTATGTAAAATTTTATTCATTAATTTTGCATGAGTGTTTGTCCGACCATGTGTTTGTGCACCTTGTGCATGCCTGGTGCCCAACGGAGACCAGAAGAGATTTCAGATCCTATAGAACTGGAGCCAATTGTGAGCTGTCATGTGGGTGATCGAACCAAGTCCTCTTGAAGACCAGCCAGTGCTAACTGCTGAGCCATCTCTAGCCACCTTGTATTAATTTCTAATGTGATTTAAAAAACTGCTTGAAAACAAAAACCCAAGTACCTTAGGCATTGTGGACTTGGTCAGCACTTCAGAATTAAGGTTGAGTTAAATTGTGAATCGAGGTGGTGGTGGCATGTCTTTAATCCTAGCACTTGGGAGGCAGAAGCAAGGGAGATCTCTGTGAGTTTGAGGCCAGCCTGGTCTATAGAGCAGGTTCCAGGACAGCCAGGGCTACACAGGAAAACCCTGTCTCAAAAAACAAAACCTTACAAACATATTTGCGCATATGAAAGCCCTCTAGTTTTTATTCTGGCATGCATTTAGAAAGTATTTACTTCTAAACTGGGCAGTGGTAGTGTGCCATTAGTCCCAGCACTCCAAAGGCAGTAGCAGGTTGGATCTCTGAGTTTGAGGCCAGTTTGGTCTACATAGTGAGTTCCAGGATAGCCAGAGCTACACAGGGAAATCCTGTCTCAGGAAAAGAAAAAAATATTTGTTTCTAAGTAAAGAGAGTATCAGAGGCATAGTGACACAAATCTATTTTTATCAACTGCTTTGGGGACTGAGCCAGCCCCTCAAGTTCTTTATTTCCCTTTTTGTAGTTGAGATTTTTTTTTGGTGATAAAATTACATTATGAACTGATAGCTTTTATTATTGTTTTCTAAAAATTTGGCAGAGCAGTAGAGCTCTTGCTTAGCATGTAAGATGCATTGGGTTTAATCCCCAGCAAAAAGTGCAAAATTTTAATCTAGTCTGTATGTGTAACATGATTGAAGGAGGTTTCTTTATCTCATTGTTGGAAAGGAGTTTAGGATCAAATCCAGGGCTTCAAATGCCTCTGTCTATATGCCTATTCCTTTACTCTTCACTTTTAAGACTCTTTTCTTTGTATTTTTATTGAGGATTCTTTTGCATAAAAATATAAGTCAGTACTCATTTTTAAAGAAGAAAATAGAAAATCTTAACAAATGCCTAAGCCTAGTTTTTCATTACAGTTTTGTTTGTTTATTTGTGTGTGTGAGCATGTAGCAGGCTTGTCCACATGGCGATCTGAGGACAACTTGTGGGAGCCAGTTCTCTTCTTTGACCATGTGTGTCCTGGGGGGATCAAACTCAGGTCATTGGGCTGAGAAGCAAGAACTTTTACCTGTTTTGCTTAGGTGACCTAAAACTAATATCATCAGTCTGTCTGGCATGATGGCACATGCCTGTAATCTCAGCTTCTAAGAGATAAGAGGAGAATCAGGAGTTCAGGGTCATCTTTTACTACATAGTTTGTGACTAGCTTGTGCAATCACAAACAAAAGCAACCAAATGAATGCAAATCATGAGTCCATAGGAATTTTGGGTCTCAGGTGCTCTGAGTTGCTTTGTGAAGTGGGTTGTTAAAACTGATTCCACAGAGTGTTTCTGAGTAACCAATCAATTCACCTCCTTGCTGCTGTTTGACATTCTCACAGTGACCATCTTTCCACCGTAGAAAAGGACACTAATGGAGAAGTTCTGTGGGTGTGGTGTTATCCTTCCACGACAGCCTCATTAAGGAATCTGCTGCTCCGAAAATGCTGCCTAACAGATGAAAACAAACTTCTCCACCCCTTTGTCTTTGGTCAGTACAGAAGAACGTGGTTTTATATCACTACAGTTGAAGTTCCAGATTCTTCAATTTTGAAAAAGGTATGACTGCTTCAAGGTAAAAACAAAAACCAGTATATCTAAAGTGACTTAAGAATATAAGCGACTTCCAGGACAGCCTCCAAAGCCGCAGAGAAACCCTGTCTCGGGAAAAAAAACAAGGAACTAGCCCTTTTAGACCAGGCTGGTTTCCAACTCACAGAGATTCCCCCTGCCTCTGCTTCCTGAGTGCAGGGATTAAAGGCATGTGCCCGGTTCATAGGAAGTTTTAAAAACACAAAACTGTTTTAGAAACTGGGAGTTGTGGCACATGCCTGTAATCCCAACTCTTACGAGGTTCAGGAAGGAATATTGCCAATTTCAAGACCAGCCTGAACTATATAATGCATTCCAGGGTAGTAAAAAGCTTTAAAATTTTTTAAAAATTAATCTTTCTATGTATAGGTGTTTCGCCTGAATGAATATATGTCTGTATGAATGTACCATGTACGTGTGTAGTGCCTGCAGAGTCCAGAAGAAGGTGTTGGATCTCCTGGGCCTGCAGTTAGAAGCAGTCATGTATGACCATGTGGGTACTGGGAGTAGAACCCATTCCTCTGGAAGAACAGCCAGTGTTCTTAACCACTGAACCATCTCTTCAGTCCCTTAAAATTTTTTTTAAAAGAATATGATTATTCTTGGCAGAGTTAAGAATTTTTTAATTTACTTGTGGATATAAAACGATACACTATGTATTTAAAATGATTATTAAAATCTGAAATAATTAGACTTTTATTGGTATGCTGACTTTTATTAGTTTACTATGAGTAATAAGTATCAGTGTGACCTGGGGAATAAGTCGTATGGATTACTTTTTGTTGTTGTTTTGACTTTTTTCAAAACAGGGTTTCTCTGTGTAGCCCTGGATGTCCTGGAACTCACTCTGTAGACCAGGCTGCCTCTGCCTCCTGAGTGCTGGGACTAAAGGTGTGTTCTACCATCCAGGTAAATTACATACTTTCTAACTTCAAGCAAGCAGAGTTTTCTAAGAGAAAGATAAGGAAACAAGTTGCTGAGTCTCTGGGAAATACATGGGGACTCCTCTTTTCACTTTTCAGAGGTAGCTTCAGAGGCCAGAAGAGGGCATCAGACCCCCTGGAGGTGAAGTTACAGGCAGTTGTGAGCTGCTCTATGTGTTCAGTGTTTCCAGCATGGGTCCTCTGCAAGAGTAGCAAATGCTTTTAATTGATAAGCCATCTCTTTTTCAGTTCTTTCTGAAAAATCTTAAGTGAATGTGGCCTGTGTTTTAGATTATAGACTGCCAAGTTACAATAGCATTCATATCACATCTATGGTTCAGATTTAAAAAAATATTAAGGTTTAGACTAGCCCAAAAATAACATGTTTTTTAACAGAGCATAGTAGCATACACACATAATCTCGCACTTAGGAGGCAGAAGGTCTCAAATTTGAGACCAACATGGGCTACATATGAGACTGTCTCAAAATAAAACAAGGATAGAGAAGCAAAAGACATTTTGGTCTTTTTTTTTTTAATGCAACTATATTGTGTCCAAGAAGTTTGTTCAAATAGAATAATAATGTAATCTGTTACATTAAGTATCTATTGAATTCTATTCAAGTATCTTTAAAAAGTGTGCTTTTGTTTGTTTCTTTTGGACAGGTGACTCATTTTTCTATTGTTCTGACGGCCAAAGATTTTAACCCAGAGAAATATGCCGCCTTCACTAGGATTTTGTGTAGGTCTGTATGAAAACTGTGTTAAATGCTAATTCACCAAAACGAAGATCTCATTTAGTAGTGAAGGAAACAAAATCAGTCTTCAGTCCCCTGATTTAATCCATTGCTGCTTTGCAGAGGCTGATTTCTGTAGTGCACAGTGTTACGGCATTCTATATCTTCCTCTCCTGTCGTGGGGCAGAAGGAATGAGGACTCAGCAATTGCCAGCTACTTCCTTTGTCTGCTGTTCCTTCCTGCTTCCATGTACTCAGCTTTACACGTGTGCTCATGCATAATACCTCCATATGTCCTCACACACATGTGTCTGATGTCTTTTGGACACACTCATGCATACTCTTTTGTGATGGGGAGATAAATGTAGAGGTGCCTATCTTCATTTCTGGGGAGAGAATCAGGCGGGTGTGGTTGCTGTGACATACAGCAGAGTCCACTCAGGAGGGCTTCCATCCCTGGGTGGTGTCCTTTGCCACCACTCCCTTCATCTAGTTCCTGCAGCTAATAGGGTGTTGTGCACTCTTAGGATCTGCTGTACACACCAGGTTCGAAGGCCTGAGGGTTACTGTCTAAGCATGGCCCTCTGGACCACACTGCCTCAGGGGTTGTTCTTTTCTGTGCCTCGTAGCCCAGAGTTACCATCTCCTCAATCTTATGTTTGACTTCTCCATTACTATAGTAGTTTTCTGTTCATTATGTTGATGAAATTTTTTATTAAGAAGCACATAATAAAAAAGTATCAGTGATACAGAAGTCTGCAATTCTCCCTGCCTCTTCCCCATCCCCAGTTCATACAATCCCTGTAATATCCTCTTTGTATAATCTTGTGTTTGAATTAGTGGGTTGGTGGCCATACTTGAGAGCTCATAGAATTTATTGTTCCCCACCTTTTTCTCAGTTTGTAGCTTGAAGTAGCAAGCATTTAGTAATAACTTAAACTAGCCTTTTCTTCAGTTAGTCCACAGTAAATATAACTGAATTAGTCAGTTGTAAAATTCAGTTTTTCAGTTTAATTTTCTCAGTTTTCTATTACATTAGCTGTTGAAAGGCCCAAGTATGCCCAGTAATGTCTTTTTTATTCTTTAGTACTGTGGATAAAACTCAGGGCCTCAAACAGGCTAGGCCCACCCTTAATTACTGAAGTGTACCACCAGCCCCAGTTAAGTTTCTCAAGCAAGATGTAGCTCTAAGCCAGGCTTGGTGGTTTACCTCTTTAATCCCAACACTCTGGAGACATAAGCAGGTGGATCTCTCTGAATCTGAGGCCAGCCTGGTCTACATGGCAAGTGCCAGGACAGCCAGGACACAGAGATACTGTCTCTAAATAAACAAACAAACAATTAAATGAGAGAGAAAGAAGTAGCCTTAGTTACTCAGAGGAAGGGATTTCATGGGGAAGAGACTATAAATGCAGCTGGCTTCCCATCACTGTTTGTGGAAGTCTTTAACTTTATGACAGATGTCTGTGTTTATCACTGCAAACTAAAGAGTGTGGATTTCTTAACCATCTAAATGTAGTTACCTCTAGGATTGCTTATAATAAGTCTGGGTTCTACAACACTGTTTTCTCTGAACAATGGTTTGAACTCTTGTCAAAGGAAGTTGAGGCAATAAAACAGTTGCCTGACTGAGAACACTAGTTATGAGAGCATAAGACAAAAAGAAATAAGAATACAATATTGCTGGGAGTAACACAGCTGTGGGAATCCACTGTTTTTATTTCCCCTATATAGGGGATACATCTCCAGACGGCAGGAGAGCCTTCCTCAAAGAAATGGTCCACATTTGTCAAGTGTTCTACTTCAAAGTAAATTAGAGGAAAACTGTTATAGACAGGTTTGCACATTTGGAAATGATACAGGTTACTTTATAATCTAGAAAGTACCAATGTCTAATCTTGGTGCCTTCCCCTACATTACCATACTGCATATAAAGCATTGTCACCTTTTGTCCTTTCTCACAGAATATATCTGAAATATGGGAGCCCGGTTAAAATGATGGAGAGTTACATTGCAGTTCTTACCAAGGGGATCTGTCAGAGTGAAGAAAATGGCTCTTTCTTTAGCAAAGACTTTGATAGTCGAAAGGCATATCTTGCAGGTTCCATCAAAGGTAAGAAAGAAAGGAAAACTCTGGCCAGCATCAGAAGCCTTGAGCCAAGGTCATTTTAACCTGCATTTCCTACACAGCAGAATATGTCAGCTCTTAAGTTGCTTTACTTAGAATTGTGTCAAAGCTACAGAGAAACCCTGTCTCCCCTGTCTCGTAAAAACCAAAAAAAAAAAAAAAAAAAAAAGAATTGTGTCAAAGCAAAACATTTTGTGACAACTTTTTCCATATTGGTTTTTTTTTTTTTTTTTTTTTGGTTTTTCGAGGCAGGGTTTCTCTGTATTATTTTAGAGGCTGTCCTGGAACTTGTTCGGTAGACCAGGTTGATTTCTCTGAGTGCTGGTATGAAAGGCGTGCGCCACCAGCGCCTGGCTTCCATATTGTCTTTTATAGAAATGTTCTTATAGCTGAATTTCATGACTCACAATCTCCACTGGATTCCATAGTTTTTTTCCCTCACATATTAGCCATTAGCTCTTCCTATTAGAGAACTACAGTCATGGGTATAGTCATTAATCCAGAGTTTAACTGAGGAATTTACAATGAGGCAGCCAAGAGCTAAGCCACAGATCTTGAAGTCCTCTGGAGGTGGAGCCACCCCTCTTCAGGTCCATCTGCTGTCTTTTGTGGTTCCTGTGCATTTGGTTGAGGTTGGGTGTTCTTTTTAATGACAGTGGAAAATGTTGGTTTTCCTTTGTATTATTTGTTGCGCTTCCTTAGGAGTCTGGCATTATCTGTGTATCCAGAGTCCCCAAAGAACATTGCTGGCAACTATAATATGGTATGACATGAATAAACATACCTATTCACCAGATGAAGTATGTCTGCACTTAATAATACTTGCCTAAATGTAGCTGGTGTATTAAAAGTCATTTTGTATTTATATGACAAGAATTCTTTTTAATGGAAACTTTATGCCATTATGTATTTAATGCATTATTATCTTTTTATTTTAAGACATTGTGTCTCAATTTGGAATGGAAACTGTTATCTTACACACAGCATTGATGCTGAAAAAACGAATTGTTGTCTATCATCCCAAAATAGAAGCTGTCCAGGAGTTTACCAGGTACCATCTTTTTTTTGTTTTGTTTTGCTTTTTCAAGACAGGGTTTCTCTGTATTGTTTTGGAGGCAGGTACCATCTTAAATTATTAAAAAGTGTAAGCTTTCCTGACAGTTGGAGATACTAGATGCTAATGTATGCTATGTTCTATTGCATATTTGATAAAAAGAACATGGGTTAGTCTGAGTAAAATATCATTTTTGTGATTCAGTTTAGAGCTGGGGTCACTGAATTTGGAAAGATTTTTTATTTAATTTTAGAAATAGAGCACTTGGAAGACAGAGGCTGCACTTGGGAAGCAGAGACAGGTGAATCTCTGAGTTTGAGACCAGTCTGGCCAACAGTGCTAATTCTAGGACAGCCAGGGCTACACAGAGAAACCCTGTCTTAAAAAACAACAACGAAATAGAAATAGACCTGCAGATGTGCACAGGTAGATGAGAACATCCAGGGGAGGAAAGGCTCTACTTAACATTCATTTGGCATATATGTTTATGTATGTGCGTAGGTTCTTGGAGTGGTGTGTGTGTGTGTGCACATTCCTAAAGGAATACTGACTGCAACTATTTCTTTGGCAGATACAATGAGTTAGCAAACTTTTGTTTGAAAGAAAGTAAGTTTAGGCTTAGGGCTAGAGATACGGATTCAGTGGTTAAGAGCACTAACTGTTCTTCCAGAAAATCTGGGTTTGAGTTCCAGTTACCCACATAATGCCTCTCAACCATCCTTAACTCCTTGAGCACCAAGCACACGTGTTGCACAGACATGAATTCAGGTGGAACACCCATTCACATAAAATTAAATTAAAACTAAATATATATGTATGTGTGTATACACATACATGTATATAGTAAATAAACATTTTAGGCTTGTGAACCAAATATCTCTTCCTGTTTCTCAGCTGCCTGGCTAGCAGGAAAGTAACCCTAGACTGGGTGAACATGGTTGTGTCAATAAAAATTTTTTTTCAAAGATAAGCAGCTAACCCATGAGGCCCAGACTGATCTCTGTTTTAAGTAAACCTGTTCCTTAGATTTGCTTTTCCTGACTTTCATTGTTAGTAGTAAATGGGATGTGGGGAGTGGAATTTTTTGTTTGCTAAATCTAATTCTTTTTGTTTGTTTGTTTGTTTTTTAAGATAGAGTTTCTCTGTGTAGCTTTGGAGCCTGTCCTGGAACTCTGTAGACCAGGCTGACCTCGACCTGCCTCCACCTCCCAGGTGCTGGGAGTAAAGGCGTGCGCCACCACCCAGTCTTTAATTAATTCTTGTTTTTTTTTTTTTTGTTTTTTTTGTTTTGTTTTTTCGAGGCAGGGTTTCTCTGTGGCTTTGGAGGCTGTCCTGGAACTCGCTCTGTAGACCAGGCTGGCCTCGAACTCACAGAGATCCGCCTGCCTCTGCCTCCCGAGTGCTGGGATTAAAGGCGTGCGCCACCACCGCCCAGCTGGAAGTAGCATCCTTATATTTTAAGAATGAGAAAAATGAGGCAGACGATAAGTGATGAGATTATGAAAAGGTTAAAATGTTTTATAGGCAAAAGTTCTGAGTTAAAATCATGAAATGGCAACTTGTTAGCTCTGGGACCATGTAAAAGATACTGGCTGTTCTGAGCCTCCATAACTTCAGGATCATAGTACCAACAATGAGCTTGTTTTCATTGCTGGGAATAATTATGTAATGTGCTTTCCACGTGCCTCCCTTTACTGTGCCTGCTTGAAAATGATTGTCGTTGGACTGTGTTTGTCTGGTCTAAGGTGAGAGGGCCAGAGTTTCACCCTGTTCCCTCTGTCTTTGACTTTTCTCTGTCATCACTTTTCTGCCTACGTTACTCTTAAACTGGAGTATCCTTACCATCTGAAATGAGTTTCCTGGAGCTGCATGAATTCCTCACACCTGCCTGCAGCACTTGTTTTTTAAAATTTTTGTTTATTTTATGTGTATGGGTAGTTTGCCTACATGTATGTCTGTGCTCCATGTGTGTGCCTGTTTCCTGCAGAGGCACACACTGGGACTGGAGTTATATATGGTTGTGAATCCCTATGTGGGTACTGGGAATTAAACCTGGATCCAGGCACACTCTAGTTTAAGTACTTGGGAGTCACATGCCTTTAAAGGCAGCACTAGGTAGATGGAGACAAGAGTGATATAAGGTGGGATGAGACAGGAGCTCACTGCATTCAGTCTGAGGATTCCTAGAGACAGGCTCACCCATTCGATCTGAAGATTCAGTAGAAGCAAGAGCTAGTGGCTGGCTGTTCTGCTTCTCTGATCTTTAAGCATTTACCCCTATATCTGACTTGGGGTTTTTATTATTAAGACCAATTAGAATTCACATTACATTTATTCCTCAGGACTCTGCCTGCCCTGGTGTGGCATCGACAGGATTGGACCATCCTGCATTCTTACGTGCACCTCCATGCTGAAGAACTGGAAGGCCTGCAGATGTGCACAGGTACAAGGGAGCAAAGACTCTGTTTATGTGTGTTTGGTGTGTGTGTTTGTATTGGTGGGGCATGCACACATTGATAAAATTAATATTGAAACTTTGTTTTTGCAAATTTTTCCATTTTAAAAACATTTTTAAGCCGGGCCTGGTGGCGCATGCCTTTAATCCCAGCACTCGGGAGGCAGAGGCAGGTGGATCTCTGTGAGTTCGAGGTCAGCCTGGTCTACAGAGTGAGTTCCAGGACAGCCTCCAAAGCCACAGAGAAACCCTGTCTCGAAAAAAACCACAAAAAAAAAAAAAAAAAAAAAGTGGTAAAATGCACAAAATTATCATTTTAACTTGTATGTGTTTTCCTGGTGTTAGAAATTGAATGTAGAGCTTAGCTTCAGGCATGCTTGGCAAGACCACTACCACTGAGCTATATTCCCAGCCACAAGTTAATCAATAATTTGCTTTTGAGTGCTTAGGCTTTTTTGTTTTGTTTTGGGTGTTTTGGTTATTTTTTTCAAGACAGGGACTTTTCTCTGTGTTAATAGCCTTGACTTTCGTAGAGCTCACTGACTGCTCTTCCAGGGGTCCTGAGTTCAATTCCCAGCAACCACATGGTGGCTCACAACCATCTACAATTCAATCTGGTGCCCTCTTCTGGCATGTAGGCAGAATACTGTATATGTGATAAATAAATAAATCTTTAAAAAAAAAAGCACTAAAGTTTCTTTCTAAAAAAAGTACCATTATACATATATGATAATAAGATAACTTTTTTTTTTTTTTGGTTTTATGAGACAGAGTTTCTCTGTATTGTTTTGGAGGCTGTCGGTCCAGCCTGGCCTCAAACTCACAGAGATCCTCCTGCCTCTGCCTCCCGGGTGCTGGGATTAAAGGCATGCGCCACCACCGCCCGGCGATAATAAGATAACTTAATCATAGTTTATTACTTTACAAGAATACTAACTTTTTATGGGCTTTTTTTTTTTAATTTAAGCCATTACATCTTCTGTTTTTTATGCCGTTAAGGAATTTTTAGGGCCAATGAGATGGATCAGCTACCCCCTAAGCTTGATGGCTTGAGTTTGATCCCTGAAACCCACATGGCAGAAGGAGAGAACTAACTGCCAGAAGTTGTCCTTTGACTTCCACATGTATGTAGTGGCATGTGCACACTCCCACATATAACTTGCTCTCTGAAATAACCAACATCATTCTAAACAGCACCAATTCTAGAAGTCTACTGATTGCATTAGCAGTCATTGTATCAGATCTGATAGCACTCAGAGATGGTCCCTGTAGCCGGGCGGTGGTGGCACACGCCTTTAATCCCAGCACCCGGGAGGCAGAGGCAGGAGGATCTCTGTGAGTTCTAGGCCAGGCTGGAACGACAGCCTCCAAAACAATACAGAGAAACCATGTCTCGTAAAACCAAAAAAAAAAAAAAAAAAAAAAAGAGAGAGAGAGAGAGCCCCCTGTGTCCTCTCTGACAACCTAGACATGTGGTTGTGGCTTTCCTGAGGACAGAGATCTAAAATGAAGACAGTGGTTGAGTCCATGTTGCTTTTGGACATTCTTTTTCTTTGTTTTAAACCAGAGTTGGACTTTTTCATTAAAAGATATTTTTAATGTTTTATACATGAGGATTAAGAGAAGAGAGGTGAGACACTCAGAAAGACAGACACATGGGTGTGGCATTTTTTGGGAAGGGGTTTCGAGACAGGGTTTCTGTGTAGCTTCTCTGTTGACCAGGCTGTCCTTGAATTCATGGAGATCTGACTGCTGAGTACTGGGACTAAAGCCATGTGCCACCACTGCCCAGCTGGGGTGGCTTCTTTAAGAGAGAGTTACCTACTTTCTGACTTTTTTTTTTTTTTTTTTTTTTTTTGGTTTTTTCAAGACAGGGTTTCTCTGTGGCTTTGGAGGCTGTCCTGGAACTCACTCTGTAGACCAGGCTGGCCTCAAACTCACAGAGATCCGCCTGCCTCTGCCTCCCGAGTGCTGGGATTAAAGGTGTGCGACACTAATGCCCAGCTCTTTCTGACATTCTTGACGTAAATAGCTTTGACCAAAAAGTAAATGCTTTACTTCAGCCTTGTTCCTTGATATTCAACTTAAATTTTGGGACATTTTGAGCCATATGTATTTTGATTATGTAGCACCAATAAGTGCCACTGGTATAGCTAATGTTCCTGAGTAATAGAAAACTCTAAAGTAGGCAGTGCTCATCAGATTCAGTCTCCTGAAACCCTCACCACGTGATCTTTTCTGCTCTAGTAATTTGATCAATTTGCAATGCAGGCTACATTGCTGGCTTTGTAGAATTGGAGGTGAGCAACAGACCAGACCTCTACGATGTATTTGTGAATCTGGCAGATAGTGAGATCACCATCACTCCACTTGCAAAAGGTGACTTTTCCATTCTATTCTCTGTTCCAGTATTTACATGAGGTACAAGCCAAGCAGCTTTATGCTTTGGGCTGACTCCTTAAAGCCAGTATTTGAGAGCTTGCTTGGCATCTGCTGGAGCTGGAGGGATTTCTCAGTGTCCAGGATGTAAAATTTATTCCTGCAGGTCTATATGTTTTAGAAAGACTGGTGGGATTGCTGATCATAGTTTTTGTGTGATCTCTCACTGGTGCCCAAATGTGGGAGCATCTGAAAAGCTGGCTGTAGGATTCTGTGTTAGAATGTGATGCTGTGTGGGTTTTATCTCACAACTTCAAATGAGTAAAACCAGAATTGTTTCATTTTCATTTGTTTTAAAATTCATGTGGGAGGGATTGGAGAGACGGCTCAGAGGTTAAGAGCACTGGCTGCTCTTCCAGAGGTTCTGAGTTCAATTCCCAGCAACCACATGGTGGCTCACAACCATCTGTAATGAGATTTGCTGCCCTCTTCTGGCCTGCAGGCAAGACACTGTGTACATAATAAATTAATAAATCTTTAAGAAAAAATTTTTCATGTGAGAAAATGAAAGTAGAAACAGACCTTGGGAAATACTACATCTTATAAGGCTAAAATTATAAAAATGGCCATGGCCCGAGCCAAAAAGGATGGCACTGCCTACTTTCTGTTCTGATCTACAGAACACACTCATTCCAGTCGGCACCATCTAAATGGAGTGTATTCCTTGCAGTGACACAGAACTTTCTCTCTCACAGCAAGCAGGAGCACCATCTATAGTTCATGTGACCGAAGTGGTTTCCAAAGCTCGGAACATGCTATGTGCTCTTCTGGCGCCCGAGGGCCAGGCAGGAAGCTCTTTCACAACCTTCCTGCTAGAAAAATGCATTTAAATTTTTTTTTTTGATTTTTTTTTTTTAAACAGTCTCTCCTCATAGTTAGGGCTGTACTAGAGATCACTATGTAGACCAAGCTGGCCTACAACTCAAAGAGATCAGCCTTCCTCTACCTTCAGAGTGCTGGGATTAAATGTCTGCGCCATTTAGATTCCTCACTGTAAAGACCTGGGCAGGATGGTTGGACTTTGCCTTCAAGTCACAGCTCACTTGTAATCAGTGTTTTTTATTCACTTTACCAGGCAGATACGAAGGGGAAATCTGGTTTGGTACTGGTGATATTATTTCCAACATGCTTTTACATTTGTGTTGGGAATAAAATGGAAACCTGGAAGGTTATCTGTTGATTTTTGAAAAGTTCATTAATGTGGTCTTTCAGAATTTCAGTTGGATGGCTTGGTCATTTTTTATTGTGTAAAATTCTAAGTCTTCATACAGCATTCTTTCTGCTTTTATCAGAGGCCATGACAATGGGCAAACTGCATAAAGAAATTGGTCTGCTAATTGTGCAGTCTGCAGAAGACCCAGAGAAGTCAGATAGCCAAGTTATACAGGTAACCCTTCATCTACCTCAGGAAGCATCTTGTAGTATCCTCACTGTACAGTTTCTCAGGGCATGGTAGCGGAGTGAAGTGTCAGGGGACAGGCTAGCGGGCAAATAGAGGTTTTGCAGTGGTCAAGATGACGGTGGATGGACAAGGGGAGAGGCAGGTCGTTATATCCAATCCTGGTGGTGAGAATTGTAACCACTGAACAGGCTAGCATGCCTGTGAGGCCGCCAGTAGCAGTTTCATCCTGCTACAAGAATTTTCATGGAGGAACAAATGGTGAAACAGTAACTTTGGAATCAAATCTCCACTTTTGAGTTCAAGGTTTTTTGTTTTTTTGTTTTTTTGTTTTTGTTTTTTTTCGAGACAGGGTTTCTCTGTGGCTTTGGAGGCTGTCCTGGAACTAGCTCTTGTAGACCAGGCTGGGCTCGAACTCACAGAGATCCGCCTGCTTCTGCCTCCCGAGTGCTGGGATTAAAGGTGCGCGCCACCAACGCCTGGCCACACTCATTCTTTTTAGTATTGTTTTAACTTATTCTTTGAGAATCTCACACATGTATAGAGAATACTTTGTACTTTGATAGTTATCTATTCTCTACTTCTGGATCTCTCCAATGGATTCCCTCCCATCTTCCTCTATCTATCTATCTATCTATCTATCTATCTATCTATCTATCTATCTATCTATCTATCATCTGTCTATCATCTATCATCTATCTGTCAACTATCTCTATGTATTGTGTGTGTGTGTTAGTGTTTTATCTGCATGTATGTCTGTGCACTATATTACACACAGAGGTCAGAAGAGGATGTTGTGAGCCACCATGTGGGTGCTGGGAACTGAACCTAGATCCTCCTAAAGAGCAAGTGCTCTTAACCACTGAGCCGTCTCTTCAGCCCCGTGCCTACTCCCACCCAGCACACACACTGAGTTCAGTTAGTGCTGCCCCTATGCACATGGGTGTGGGGCCATCCACTGTGGCATGAGTGACCTGCCAGTGAAGAAAGTTGACCATCTCCCCTCTAGCAGCTATCAATTGAGCTGGGGTGGGACTTCATTTTCCTCTCCCTAGCCATGTTGGAATTTTAACTTAATCTTAATCTTACATAGGTAATCACAGCTGATTTGAGTTCATGAGCGCTACAGCATGTCAGAATTTCACAGCTCTCCTTGCTATCCTCCAGTCCTTAACATCTTTCCACTCTGTCTTCCATGATTCTGTGGTGTCTTCTGAGCCTGGTGGGATGGTGATATAGAATCCTGCATTTATCACTTTCACTTTCTTTTCCCAAGATCTCATACATTATGTGGAATTATCTATGTATCACTTATAATCTATGAGAAATAATCCAACTTCCTGGGCACACAGTGTCTGTTTAGCTTTAGCATGGTGAAAATGTTCTAGAAATAACACAACATGGCAATTGTACTTCTTTTTTCTTTTGCAATATTGTGTGTTTGCATTTACATATAATCTAGAGTTGGTTCTTCCATTGAACCATCTTATGCCTGTGGTGACTATTTATTAGTGTTTGAGAGAGAGAGATTACGATATCACTTCGTGCATGGAAGGCAGAGGACAGCCTTCAGAAAGTTTGTTTTCTCCTTCCACCAAATTTTCAGGCTTGGTAGTTAGCTTTTACCTGGTGGACCCGTGATACCTTTTTTTTTTTTTTAAGACAGTGTTTCCCTAAGTAGTCCTGGCTGTCCTCAAACTCAGAGATCTGTCTGTCTGTCTCTGCCTTTTGAGTGCTGGGATTAAAAGCATACACTTTCACACGTAGCTTTTTATTTTGAAACACAGTTCACTGTGTAGCCCTGTCTTGACTGGGACTCACTGTGTAGACCAGATTGGCCTTAACCTCACAGAGATCCACCTGCCCCTGCCTCCAACTGGGATCAAAGTCAAGCTCCACCATGCTGATCCTCCACAGTGACTTTTTGTTTTGTTTTGTTTTGTTTGTGTAGCTTTGGAGCCTATTCTGGCACTTAGTCTTGTGGACCGGGTTTGGTCTTGAACTCACAGAGATCTGCTTGCCTCTGTGTTCAGATTAAAGTGTTGGGCCACACAGTGACTCTTCTTAGTATCATTGCATTATATGCTTATAAATGAACAAAATGATTATAGACACATCTATGACATTAATTTCCTACGTTATTTTGTTTTAAAAATTTATGAGAGCTGGGCATAGTGGTAGATGACTTTAATCCCAGATCTTGGGAGGTAAAAGCAGGTGGATATCTTGAGTTAGAGGCCAGCCTAGTCTATATATAGAGTGAATTCCAGAACAGCCAGAGAAACCCAGTCCTGGTGGGGGGGGGGGGTTATGAAGTCAGTCTGATAACAGAAGGAAGATCCTAGAAAATAACTATTCACATTTTTAGTACTAACATACTGTGTATTTTTCTATTCTATTAAAGGACATTGCTCTAAAAACAAAAGAAATCTTCACCAATCTAGCACCATTTTCGGAAGTGTCAGGTGACGGGGGAAAGATCATCCTCAGTGTTGAGGCACTGAAGCAAAAGCGATTCCCACCTGCAACAGAGAACTTCCTTTACCATCTAGCAGCAGCTGAACAGATGCTGAAGATTTGACTGTCCACAGCAAGACCCTACAGAACTTCCCTTCATTCTGAGTACCCATTGGTATTATATAGTATTGGAATTACAGAGGAAATGTTCTATTTTTAATGATTTATTTCCAAGTATTTAGATCTCACCTGAGAAACATGTAAAAATAATAGTGTTTTTCTTTTCTTCCTGCCAGTATGACCCACTGCTGGACAGTGTTTTAACTACTGTCCTAATGGTAGGAGCCATATGCTGTCCCAGAATTTAGGAGTCACACACAGATCAGCACATGCAAGCCTTCATTGTGGATCCCCGTTTGTCTCTCTCTAGCCATAAACTTAACGGTTTATTTTCAGAAAGCTGCCTCACAGTTTGCTTTTTATTCTTCTAGGAAAAAACTTGAATACTTCATGAGAGATTTTACTTTCTGAGCCAAATTGCTATGTTTTCTGCAGAATTATCTAGAATATCATTCAAGAGATAACTACAATTGCACTTTCTTGTAAAAGCAAATGTTTTGGGGCCTTTGAAATTTTTGCCTATATTGTGAAGGTTTTTCATAGATTTTGTACATGATTAGTACTCTTGGTCTAACTGCTCCTAGCAGTGCCTTTGGGAAAGAAGCCAGTCCCTGTAACAGAGGAGCCCCTTTTAAATATAAAAAACAAAACAAAACAATACCTTTGTTTTTTGTTTGCAGTGCTGGAGCTAGAACCTGGGGCCTTGCATATGCCAGGCAAAATGCTTTTCCACAAAGCTAAACTCTTAGCCCAATCATGATTTCATATATTGGTAAATTACCTCAAATTGCAGAGGCCAAAATCAGACAGTGTCTTCAAGTGATTGCAGTAAAAGTAATCTGGCTACATCATAAAGGACACTTATTGAACTTTTTTGTTTGTTTGTTTGTTGAGACAAGGTTTCTCTGTGTAGCCCTGGCTGTCCTGGAACTTGTTCTTTAGACCAGACTGACCTTAAACTCAGAGATATGCCTTCCTCTGCCTCCCGAGTACTGGTATTAAAGGTGGGCACCACCAGTGCCTAGTTTATTGGCTTCTTAGTTTGAGACCTTAAAATTGTGAGTAAGCACAAATGTCTAAATTAAACATCCCTTTGTCTACTCATGTTAATTATGAAAGGCCACTTTAGGACAGTTGCAGAACCTTCAAACCTTACGGGGAAACATGTTTGCAAAAACATTATCTAAGGTGGGTCTTTTTGCTGGTCATAGTGGTGCACACCTGTAGTCCCAGCACTTGGAAGGCAGAGGTAGGCGGATCTTTGTAAGTTCAAGGCCAGCCTGGTCTACAGAGAAACACTGTCTCAAAAAACAGAACAAGAAAGTTATCTTTTAAAAACCTCATTGTTAGATGTTTAAGTAAAAAAAAAAATAATAATAACCTTTCCCTCTTGTCCTTGGGTGGGAACAGAGAGGACCTGAAATAACTTGTTTACCTGAGCTAGCAATTGAAGATTAAATTTGCACTTTATGAAAAGAACTGCTGATGTATTTGTCCTTTTCTCCCTTTTGTAATACTGTTAGAATTACAAAATTAAAACATTTTGATAGTTTTCAGTAGTCATGAGGAAGTCTTACACCTGGAGATTTTGCCTGTCTTATGGTATTTTGTGTTTTGATTTATGTGTATGACTGTTTTGCCTACATGTATGTCCATGCACCATTTGTATACGGTGCTCATGGTGGTCAGAAGACATTGGGTTTCCTGGGGCTGAAATTATAGATGGTTATGAGCCAAACCTGGGTCCTCTGCAAGAGTTAGTGTTCCTAACTGCTGAGTCATCTCTCTAGCTTCCACATTGTATTTGTTGTTGACAGGGTCTCACTATGTAGTTCTAGTTGGCCTGGAACTTGTTATAGACGCCAGGCTGGTCTCAAACTCAGACATCTGCCTACCTCTGCCTCCTGGGTACTGGAATTATGGGTGTATCACCACACTTGACTACCTTATTATTATTATTGTTACTATTATTATTATTATTATTTTACCCCTCCTACTTATCCTGATCTTTTCACACACACACACAAAGATTTTTATTTATTTGTATATGTTTGTGTGTATGCCACATGTGGGGGTGTCAGAAGAGGGTTCTGGATCTTCCTGGAGCTGGAGTCACAGGCAGTCACCTGGGTGCCGGGGGCAGAACTCACATCTTCTGGAACAGCATCAAGCACACTCAAATGCTGAGCCATTTCTCTAGCCTATAGTTCTCTACCTTAAGTTCTGTGTGGCGTCTACCAGTGGCTACACTAAGCCACGTGGTAGGTCACTTTTGTCTTTTTGGACTTCTGTAATACTTTTTTAAAACCAAATTTTGGAATAATTGTCCTGCAGACAGGGAAACTGAAAAAACACACCTTCAGTGAGTTTAGTACGGAAATATCACCGTAGTAACCAAATGTGTATCTCTTCTCTAATGACAGTCTGCTAGGAAATAGGACCAGCCAACAGGTCTTGTAGTAGTGTGACCAGGGCCAGATCTGGTAAGAGAAACGGGATGTTACAGAAGGGGTACCTTGCTCTGTGCTGTGAGCTCTCAAGGCCTCCACAGCTTCTGTAAAGGACCAGAAAAGCCCACATACTCATGTGAGGCACCTGTAGGTCAAGAGGAGGGAATGGTAAGAGATGAATAGGATAGACTTTCCAGTGGTGTTTGGGATCAGAATTTGGTCTTCAGACAGAAGCAGGAAGGTTCAGAGAGCAGCTAGAGCAAGCCAGAAAGCTGCAATGCCTTGCCAGCAGGGGGTGCTGTTGCACTGAGCTGAGGCTGCACCCAAAGCCTTGGGTTTTTGTTTTTTGTTTTCTTTTTTTTAATTTAAATTAGAAACAAGCTTGTTTTACACATCAATTCCTTTTCCCTCTCCCTCCCCTCCTGCCCTGCTCCCCACTGATTCCCTATTCCATCCCCTTTCTGCTCCCCAGGGAGGAGTAGGCCTTCTATGGGGGAATCTTCAAAGCCTGTCATATCATTTGGAGCAGGGCCTAGGCCCTCCCCTGTGTGTCTCAAGCCTTGGGTTCTTTTTTTTTTTTTTTTTTTTTTTTGGTTTTTTTCGAGACAGGGTTTTTCTGTATTGTTTTGGAGCCTGTCCTGGAACTCGCTCAGTAGATCAGGCTTGGTCTCGAACTCACAGAGATCCATCTGCCTCTGCCTCCCGAGTGCTGGCGTGTGCCACCACCACCCGGCCAAGCCTTGGGTTCTTTTTTTTTTTTTTAATTTTATTTATTTATTATTAAGTATACAGTGTTCTGCCTGCACACCAGAAGAGGACACCAGATCTTGTTACAGATGGTTGTGAGCCACCATGTGGTTGCTGGGAATTGAACCCAGGACTTCTGGAAGAGCAGCCAGTGCTCTTAACCTCTGAGCCATCTCTCCAGACCGCCTTGGGTTCTTAACACATGAAATTGTGCCCTTCTGGGGTGAGGGTTATAGATGCCACAGCATCTGTCAGACACAGCTGGGTAAATGATAGCACCATTGTCCAAGACTGGTAGGGAGCTGAACTAAGATATGGGTGAGTTCTGTGGGTCATCCAAGAGCCAAGTACATTAAAGCAGTTGGGGGGGGGGGTCACGTCTGAGGGGCTGGCAGAATGGTAGTCCAGCCTTGGATGGGGTTTGGGTGAGAGCCATCTCAGCAGAATGTAGGCCGTGGCCAACAGCACTCTGGTTAAGGCCTGAATATGAGGCTAGCCCAGTCTACACTGGGCTCCAGACAGTCAGAGCTACACAGAGAAACTCTGTCTTGAAGAAGAGGAAGGAGGAAGAAGAATCAGAAGAAGAAAGAGAAGGAGGGAAGGGGCTGGGTATTCCTGAGACCTAGACTGATGCTGGGAAGGAAGCTGTTGCTGCCAAGGGACCTTGGTGAGTAAAGAAACAGAAGTGTCAAGGTCCTGTCAGTCAGGAACTAGGGAAGCAGACAGAATACTTGCAGTAGGGGATCAGATGAAATAAGTAGGAGAACGAACGGGATTACTATAGGGACTAGAAGCCTTAATGAGCTCACCAGACCTTTGTGTCTACCTGGAGGCTATCAATGTAGTGTTTGTTCAGGCTAGGCAAGCACCCTACCCACATTTCTTTAGCCATAGCCCATTAACGTGCCATTTCTTGTTTCACCAAAGGAGTGTAAGTCTACTGGACTGGGAGAAATTTGGATCTATTAAAATACATTGGAGTCAGGGAAAGGAAGATTGAGCATCGCTCATAACATTATCAGAGTTGGAAAAACCTGAAGGTCACTCCACTTTACTCTACCTACAGTGGAAGAATGTGGTTTGTGGACATGTCCAGATATAGAGCTAGTCAAGGGGAAAGAGCCTAGGCTCTAGGGTCACACAGCAACACTTCTAGATTTCTCACTTCACAAATGAATTCTGTCTTACTTGGTCCATCTTACAGGAAGGCTACAGACGCCCTCATGCCTGCCCCTCCCACTAGGTTTGTATTAGGCAAGTTTATAAGTGTTTTGCTTATTTCTTGTTTTGTTTTTAGATGTGTTTTGACCACATAGAGAAAGACCCCTCTTACCTTTTTTTTTTAAAGATTTATTTATTTATTATGTATACAGTGTTCTCCCTGCATGTCAGATGAGGGTACCAGATCTCATTACAGATGGTTATGAGCCACCATGTGGTTACTGGGGATTGAACTCAGGACCTTGGGAAAAGAAGTCAATGCCCTTAACCTCTGAGCCATCTCTCCCCCCCCCCCCCTTATCTTTTAAAGAAGTGGATAATGACTTCAGAGACCAAGACTGTGGTTCCAAATAGCACTGACCTGGACGTTGCTGTTTCTCTAATAGCCTGGTAGAAGAGGACAGCTTAATACATGGAGGGAAACAATGTCCAGGGACCCCATCGGAGACTAGCACACAGCAGTCTCACTGAGGACAAGCTTACTGGGAAAGAGGTACTTTATGAGTGCCTTCCTGGGGCAGGTGTTCACAAGATGGTTGGGCTGATGCTAGGAGGAACTCAGGAAGGATTTTACTTATTTGACCCCACTGAGGTCCTCAATCCATCAAACCATCCCCAATAAATTACCCAAAGTACATACTTAGGCAGCTTCTAGACAAAGTCTCACCTAGAATGAACTAAAATAGCAGCCTCCAGAGGCAATTCAGGATTTGCCCTGAATTTGGCTCATACTGCCTTTCAGCCTTACCGCTGCCACCAGCCTCCTATCATAACCTGCTCACAAGTGGTTCCCATCATACCCCTGGGGAATCTCACTAAATCCCAGCTGTGAGCACAATGGGCTACTCTCCGGGCAAGGGTAACTGTCTACTAGACCTAGCTCTCACCTATGTAACTAAAAATAATGTGCTATAAAAGTCATATTTTACCTAGGCATGCATTTAAAGTTCGCAGCATTTTGTGTGGGCTAGCAAAACAGTTCAGATGTTAAAAGCACGTGCAGAGGACTTGAGTTCAGGCCTAAGCACCCATGTCAGGTGCCTCACAACTATCTGCAACTCCAGCCTTCTAACCGCATCTCACACACACAGACACAGGAGAGAGAGAGAGAGAGAGAGAGAGAGAGAGAGAGAGAGAGAGAGAGAGAGAGAGAGAGAGAGAGAGAGAGAGAGAGAGAGAGAGAATGAACTCATACAGACCCATTCACACACACAAAAGAAAACAAATCTTTAGGGTCCGTAGATGGTTCAATGATTAAGAGCACTTGCAACTCTTGCAGAGAGCCTGGGTTTGGTTCCCAGTGCCCACATGGTGACTCACAACTACCAGTAACTCCAGCTGCAGGGAGCCAGTGCTTTCTTCTGCCCCACTGGACACCAGGCATACACAAAGTTAAAACAGTTGGTCAAAAGCAGAGAATAAGTGACTGTGAAGTGTCCAGCCCCAAATGGGGACATCTGTAACACAACCAAGACTTGGGGAACATTACAGAAGAAGAGTAAGAAAGACTGTAAAAGACAGAGGACCAGGAAGACTCCACAAAATGGTGTCTTCTGAGCATTACAGGGATGCTATATCCATGATCTTTCAGCAACGTGGCTGCCTATACAAACCTGTACAAGACCACACCAGTTAGTCAACACTCTAGCATGGATGAATGTTTCATGCCTACCTGCAGAGTTAAAGGCCGTCAACAACTGCTAAGGAGGGAGCGTCAACTTCTTTCAGAGATGAGCTTCCAACAGGTTACCATGTCCAAATCACAGTCAGACACACACACACACACACACACACACACACACACACACACACGGGAGGGGGGAGGGCCCGGTAGCAAGATAACTCAGTAGATAAAAGCACTTGCTGCCAAACTTGATGACCCTAGGAGTCACATGTGGAAGGAAAAAAAAAACATTCCCAAAAATTGTCCTTTGACCTCCATACACACACCATGACACACCTGAGCTTGCACATATACACGCAGGTGGGCTTGCATGCTCTCTCTCTTGCACATCAAGTAAATTTTTATATATTTTATTTATATTAAATTTAAAATTACATACCAATCCCAGTTCCCTCTCCCTCTAGTACTCCCATACAATAAGTACATTTTTTTAAAGGTATAAAGTAAACT